CCAACCCGGAGGTGACCAGGGCATGAGTGACTGTGCGGAGGGCCTCCTGATCCAGGAAGGGCCGTAACTGCCGCACTATATGAAGTCGTGCAAAGGCCCTCCTAGCCACGACTGCCACCTGCTCTTCGAGCAGGAGTCGTGAGTCCAGGAAGACCCCCAGATTACGCCTGACATTGTGAATAGGAGCTGCTGAATGTTGCAACCAAACTTCATTGGAGCGCCAACTTTTCCCTTCCTGGAGGAGCGAATTTACACAGCACCCATGCAGACGTGTGCAGAAGCGAGCTGCACCAAGTGGACTGGAGTCTGCACTTGGGCCAAAGAACAGAATTGCTCTGCAGGATTAGACCCAGATCCAGCTTAGCCACACCCTCCCTTGGCCCCGAATCATGGGAAATGATGGCCACAGAGGTCCATCCCTTGCCCACTCCTGTTACCACCTCACTGGGCTTGAGGAAAAGCCCCCTCTCCCAGCTCTGGATGTTTTAATTTCCAGCTCTCAGATAAGCGACAAGCTCTGCAAATGTGAGGCTCACCTGTCTTTATAGCAAAGGATGTGGACAGTACCGGGCAAAATCAGCAAATTGAACAAAGAAATGAAAAGAAAAGAAAGTTCTGCACAAAATCCATTCCAGATCAACTTTGCACAGGGAACAGGTTTTCTGTAGGCTGAAGCCCCTGCTCAGTGAATGCACAGGTATGGGATAAACAGGTAGAGCAGTGTTTCTCAACCTCAGCAACTTTAAGCTGTGTGGACTTCAACTCCCAGAATTCCCCAGCCAGCCAGCTAGAGAGTTGAGCCCCTTTCAGTCACTCACCTTGCTTGACCCTCTTCAAAATCTTCTGGTTGTGTTCCTTCAAAACTCTCAGGGACTGCTTCTCGGCACGCTCCTCTTCTAGCTATGCTCAAAAAAAGGGGGTTCTTTTCATTATTTTCCACTCAGAAGATATATCAAAAGTAAGTAAAGTTACTAAGTTATAATTTTAAAAAATGAGGCCACATTAACCAGAAGGAAATTACAGCATTCACCACCAGTGTAAGATCTGTTTGAGAAGCAAATCGGGTAATTCATCAAAAGCCTGTCTGGGTCAAGTCACCTTCGCTTCTGATGGAAGAACACCTCGTCTCCCTGAACCTCTAAAGCAGGGTTTCTCAACCTCAGCAACTCTAAGAGGTATGGTCTTTATGTCCCAGAATTCCCCAGCCAGCATGCTAGCTGGGGAATCCTGGGAGTTGAAGTCCACACCTCTTAGAGTTGCTGAGTTTGAGAAACTCTGCTCCAAAGCCTCCTTTGCTCTTCACCCCACAAACCTCTAGGCCAGTGTTTTTCAGCCTTGGTCACTTGAAGATGTGTGGACTTCAACTCCCAGAACTCCCCAGCAGCTATGCTGGCTGGGGGATTTTGGGACATAAAAACCAAACACCTTTGGGTTTCTGAGGTTGAGAAAACCTGCTT